AAGGAGACCAGGCCCTGAAGCAAAACAAACTGTTAACAGCCGGTTTACATCGGTTTACTCTGAGCAGTTTCAACCAGTTGACAGCAAGGTGGAGCCAAAAAGCATTGGTCGTGTTCGGAGGAAGCAACGAAAACAGTGCAATCACGAAAGCAAAGCACTCTGCTCTCAATCGTCACATTGTCCACTCTGCAGCCACTTAATGCAGGTCAGCTTCCAGCTTGTCAAGGAGAGTGATGGCATTGTCAATGCCTCAAAACATTCGTCGGTACCGACCCACTCCAAAAAAGTAAAAAGAAAACTCGCGCGGATAATGTTCATACCCCAGTTGCCCCGTCGTTGAATCTTAACCCCTGGCACTCTCCGAACACATACTCTGGGCCTGAAACATTTTGCACAAGCATGGTCACCTGAAATGTATTCAAATGTCGGATCGGACCCAATCCACCTGTGTTTCGTCTTAATGTTGACCTATGATTAATAAAGGGACCCGAAATAAAGTTAGCAAAATTTCGCCCTGATTAATAACACCCCTACATAAAGCTATCTCATTGAACAAACACATACATAGACAATACATAAAAAAAACGCCAATAGAAAAATACAACACACACATATATATATATAAAACACAAAAAACATATATCCATATAGCAGACTGCTTCTTTGGATTCCTTCTTTATTAATTTCTGTTTATCTCACAACATTCTATTTTCAATCCAAAAAGCCATCTGACAACAATTCGTTATACATCCCCTATTTAAACGCCATTGAAAACTGATCAAAACTACTTTGGAAAGGGTTCTCCCCATGAAGCCACCAAACCATAAATAAAGTTTACCGTAACTAAAGAATTCAACTCTAATTCAATTCAAACCCAATTCTAATTCAATTCGAGTTCAACTCAAATCAAACTCAATTCCAATTCATTTCCAATACAACCCCAATTCAGTTCTAATTCAATTCCAAGTCAGTTCTAATTCCATTCCACTTCAAGTCAAACCCAATTCTAATTCACTTCTAATTCAATGCCAATTCAATTCAATGCAAATCCGTAATTCAAGTCCAATTCAATTCGAATTCAATTCGAATTCACCTCCAATTCAATTCAAATTCAACTCCATTTCAATTCTAATTCAATTCCAATTCAATTCTAATTCAATTCTAATTCAAGTCAAATCCAATTCAATTCGAGTTCAACTCAAATCAAACTCAATTCCAATTCAATTCTAATTCAACTCCAATTCAATTCCAATTCCATTCTAATTCAATCTAAATTGAATTCTACTTTAATTCTAATGCAATCTGAATTCAATTCTATTTTAATTCTAATTCAATTCTGATTATATTCTAACTCAATTCTGAGTCAATTGAATTTAAATTTGATGTTCATATTCGTTTTAGTAAGGGATAAGTTGATTTCTAATTCAAATCCTTTCTTGGAACCTGGGATGCACTTTATTTTGCGTAAACCAAGATTTCAAGATTTGCCCGCTTTTAATCAGAGGTCCACATCACCCATCGTCCCCAATCCACCTCCGAGACCTCTCTTCTCTTTTGGAACAAAAACTGACCCCCCAAAAAAGCCTGACCATAGTGCTTATATAGTGACTAGTGACTACTAGTGTCTCTAGTGGGCACCTCGGAAACGGCCACGCCTTGAAGCTTGGAATCCATGGCGGCTTGCAAGGCCTGGCCAGAACCGGTCCAACACACGGATGTAGACTGAATCAAAACCCGGATGTATCACCATTCTGGAGTAATTGTTATTTTTGCCGTCGACCGTCTACCAGTACAGTCTTTCTCTGGCAGCCTGGATGACTTGTCCGTGCTGCACAGAGCAGCGCCCGTGCCTCCCGCAGCTGCTCCGGGCTGCGGGCCTTCATCGCGGCAGCTAAGGCGTTCTTCACCTCAGTCCGGCGTACAAGCACGGTGGGGCGGAGCGGTGGCCGTGGGGATGTGGTGAAAAAAGTGAGACCCGATGAGACCCGCGGGTTTTAGATGTATGACACCTTTATTTATAATATACACGTATAATTAATAATATATATATATGTGTGTGTGTCTAGATAATATATATATATGTGAATGTATGCACTTGTAAGTATATATGCACATTATATACATATGAATGCATATTATGTTTTGTCAATTTGTTCCTTTATACCAGTTGGGTTTGGATAGTAAGTAACCTTTGTTTGAACCATTGACCTGGGCAGCTGTCCAATCAGCTTGGCACAAAAGTCATGTAGCGTTTCAGGCTCGTCTTTCATGGAGTTGTTGTTTCTTTCTTCGGACGTCCATGGAACGTCAGAGGTGAGTATAGGAGTGTGTTTTGTTTGGGTATCTTAGGCAGACCACCTAGGGCACTATCTAGGATGACGTGGTGCCATTGGACTTGGTCAACGATCTCGCCACTTATAGCTTTTGCGGGGAAGGTCTTTGATCGCGACCAGGTCAGCAACTTCACAAGGTCAGCAGCTTCACTGGGGTTCCAGGCTTCACGCAATCTCAGCAGCAAAGCTCGAGCTTCGTGGACGTATTTGTAGTCCTGGCATGGCCAACATCAGTGATACGGCGATACGGTGCAGGTGATCTTGCCGTGCTCCACACCGAGAATCATCTGTACATGCCCAATTCAAGCCGCCAACCTCAACGGTCCCCAACCCAACCTCACCAGTCGGAGCCTTCCTCCCAGCTCATCCTAAAAACATCAGGAGCCCACTCCCGTCCTGGAACTCAATGCCCTTGCTCGCTCGGAGCACCTGAAGACCGGGTGGCACGTGTATTGGACGTGTTTTTCACTCGTGGAGCTCCAGGATGTGCCAGACAATTATTGGGAAAATGGTGAGAAGTGAAAAACATATAGGAAAACACATCATCCGCCAACGGCCTGAACAACTTCGACCTCAAAGAGGCCGCATAAGAAGCACGGAAGGTTTTCTGACACGTCTCGAGTCTTGACACGTCTAAATCCAACGTGAAAGGATTGGCTGTGGCAGTAAATGAGCCACCCAGCAAGTTCAAAAACACCGATGGGAACCTGGTGGTCAAGGTACATGTGGAGTTCCTAGTGCTTGCATGGCTACCCGCATGCATCAAGGATGGCGCTATCTCACCTCTCGACAGCTTTCTTCGCCGACCCCAGGTTCGAGTGAAAAAGGATCTTCAAGTGACTCAAGTATGCTCAAATCAAAAGGGCAGAACCACACTGCTGAAGTTCATGACGCCCCCCACGTGACCAAGAAGAGACGAAAGAATCGACCAAGAACGTTCACCGTCGGCAGCGGCTCCATGCGGTGGGGACCTCTATTTCACAGGAGCTCCAATGAGCTCCATTGACCAGCAAAGCTAATCCCCAAGCTCCATTTCATCCCATCTAGGAATCTCTCACAGTCAAAACCTATCAATCCGCTCAGTTAGCATCTGTTCACCTTAGCGTTTGTGGAGACCAGCGCAAGTCGTTTAGATTCGTTTAGACTCGTCGTTCGACTGAGATCGCCTGCTCCAACTGTTCGATGGTGGGCGCTGAGATCGCCGCAATAATCGCGGCCTCCGCCAAATCGGCGCCTGAATCGGGGGCGGCTGAAAATTGAAACAGGAAATGACATCTGCTCCTTCCAGGGTAGAATGGCTTGGGGGTGGGTAAATGTATTCTTCTTTGTTTCGCCTCTGGTGATTTGATCTTGAGACCTGACTAGGATCACCGTAGGTGTCTTGATTGAATGGTCATCTAGCTGCATAGTAAACTTTCAGGAGGGTATTGAACATGACCTTCTTCTCGAGCCAAGTATGTGAATGACATTGTTGGATCTGTCTATATGTGAGTGTGCCATGAACCCATCTTTCTTGGAGAAAGCATCCTTCAAGACCTGCAAGGCAATCATTGCATTGGATGGATGGCATATGCTTCGTCCAAGGGGGCCACAACCAGTGGATGTATCTCGAGTCACTCACTCACCACTACTGGCGGTTTGGACATCCAATTGGAGACCTCCCAATGGGTTCCGGTGGCGCCGTATGCGTTGGTCTTCCCAGTGGTCCTTGCAGGGCTTCCCAATTCTAATACGTACCCATATATATACATATATATATATATATCATCCCTAGGAATCCAGTCGTACCTTCTCAGAAGGTACCACTGGACCCTCCAAACCTACCTAACAGAGTCTCCAATCACCTTCTGAGAAGGTATCTGAAATATATATACACTGGGGTGCCAAAAGTTGCGCTTCTTGACTTCTAAAACATCACAAACCCTTTCCCCTTAGAATCCTACGTGCAACATGTCGACACCTCAGTTGCGGTCAGATTTCCACACCTGAAAGCTGATAAATATTATAAATTTAAACGGGTGTGGAAATCTGACCGTGCTGTACCTGCCACGCAAAATGGACGTGTTAATCCGATCCGCTGTAGACCGCAAGTGTCATGTTGGAACAGAGTAAGAAGCGTAAACTTTAGGGTTCTTGAAGTATATATAACATATATATATATATAATATACACATAAACACAAAATATATAGAACAATATCTAGTGGTCACTATTGATATACTATAATCCATATTGTATATAACGATCAACAGTTTCCCGATTTACTATCACTCCAAATTTCCCGACCCTCCGGCCCCACCTTGCTGCCGCGAGATCGCCACCGTGCTGATGTAAGGACTCCACCTCACCCCGCCCGAGCGGTGAAAGACCCGGAGGAAAGCGTGGCAAGAGGCGGCAAAATTGAAGCTCTGCGGTATATGTACGATTAGTATTGTTGCCCATATATGCACAGTATAAATACAAAAAATATACAGTTTATATGTGGTGCATTTGCCATCACAAGGATCAAGAACGCACCAAGCAAGCCTACTTTTGCTGAGAAAGATTGTTCCTGGCACCCGTTCGACAAGGGGCTGACAGGTTGTTGCCTATAGTGGTTCCCAAATAGATAGAAACGTTTTCCAATACATTTTTAGTGGGGGTCTATATAGCTAATAGCCATGGTTGGTAAAGTTAGGTGCTGCTTGGGTGAGGTGCAAGGCTAGGCCCTGGCGGCCGCACGGCTCATGAGCCCATGCTTTTTTTGGTCGACAGCATGCAGCCCCAATAGTGGGAGCTGGAGCAAATTCACGGCTCAGTGGCTTAAGACCGCCATTGACTCCATTTTGGAGCAGAGCGGAGCGCAAGAACAATAACGACGTGGGGGTCGGGTGGCCGTGGATAGACTTCAACACATGTGGCACGTGGAGAGACTTTTGGGCCGCCACCCCCCAATCTGCCAAAGGAAGAAAGCACCCCCCCACTTTATGTCTGCTTCTGTATCACTTCTTCTTGCCTCAGCACGGTGGACACTCTCGAGACTGCGATCCGAACCCAAAGTTGAAAAGGCCTCACTAACCTTAAGCCTCCAGTCACACTAACATGGAAGTGGAAAACCACCTGTTTGTGGGGAAAATGGTCTTCCTTTCGGGGCCATTCTCCACTTCCATGTTAGTTCCAGGGAGTGTACAGTAAAAAATTGCGCTTGCCAAGCGTGGTGAATGAAGGATCTTGACCATACTGACCGCTGAGCTCTTCCGTTGTGCCATGTGCCGCCAGGGCTTGTACAACGCCAGGGTGGCGTACCCGGGTGAGTACAAAACAACAAAACAACCCACCAAAAGGACTTTTCAACATGCTTCAACCTGTGAGTCTTGTTAAGTGGACTCGATTGCACTCCAGCATGGTGACTTTGTGAACAAATGCAACCCTGTGACAATGAATTCACATATTCTCGGCCAATCTCCTCAGAAGACATCCCACCATTCTTCCACCTAGAATCCCAACTGACTAAGCCCAAGTGCTTAGTCTAGAGGTCTCAACGCTCGGCTCCCTGAGATGCTAATCCATCGATTCTTTCGCTTCATCCAGCACAAACACATGGACTGGAAATCGGACAAAACAAGACACCGAGGACCAAATATATAGCCGTATCAATATCGGGTAAGTACCTGATTACCTAATAGATACTATTACTACAAAACCTGTACTATATATATATAGCTTATACTAATACTACTTGTATATTACTGTATATTTGAATCGTAGCATTCTGAGCTCCAAGTTGGCTCTTACCTTTCATTCCAAATACCTCTCAAGAACTCCCGGCCCATCCCCAGCTCCGCTGGCTCCGCTCACTCCGATGCCCCGGCCGCTGTTCTCCGAGGGGCCCTTCTTGCCCTTCTTTCCCTTGGCCGCCTTCTTCTCGTTGAGCCGGGCCAGGTAGACTCGCGCCTGCTTCTGGATGAAGAGCACCGCTTCGGCCTCAAGTGGACTCTGAAAACCGGGCCTCATGTGGACACCCAAACCAAGTCTCCCATGTCTGCCGAATTGGCTCACTGGTCACCATCTCGCTTTCAGAATTGTGACGACGTCATGCATTTGGCCGAAGATGAACAAAGACAACGAACACAGGCCCTTGCTAAATCATTATTTAGCATGCCACCACCCAAAAAGTGCACTAAAGGAGCCATCCGCTGATATTGTTCACGACGTTGCTTCTCAATGAGCACGGCATTCCGCATCTCTGTCTCTTTTGCCTGACCGGCATCAGCATGGAGTGATCGCACCGTTGAGCTGCTTCCGTTTCTCATTTGGACCCTGACCAATTGGGCATTGGGTCTTTTCAATTGAGACCGGGTTGGAAGGATCTCTCTGCCCCTAAATGCCCTTGGAAGGGGACATGCACACATCATCGAGCGCCCACACTCTCTTCTCTTTCTTTACCCTCTTTACCCCACTGGCGACTGGCTAGAAGAACAATCCTCAAACCCTGCAACTAAGGATGTTCATATCCCAGCTCCGGTCATGCTCCCTGAATACCTCCAAAACTAAGACTCCTCAAAAATCCAGCAAATACACAGGACATCCCGTCAGCACTGACTGACCGGAAGTGTCAAACCCGATCTGAAGCATACACCCAGGATCTGAGCTTTGACGAAAAAACAACCACCCACTGACCCAGGTCGCCTCCACTCCACCACACAGAACCCACCTAAGAGCAAATCCCAGGTGCTAGCTATCGTGAGGCACCCAAAAGCCAACAAAAACTAATAACCGTTCCTGCTGTCCATTGTGTTCTGGCTCTCCGGACTAGGCACCGGACCCTCTAACCTTCACCCCGATTCACCCCCCCCACAAAAAGAAAGAAAACCTTCAAATATACCTTCTATCTTCTATATCTTCTATCTTCTGCTCTTCACCCCAAACAACACCTTACGCCAGCCTAGACCCAAAAAGACCACAGCAAATGCCGGCCTTGTAGTCCTCCGCCTCTACCGCGCGCTTCTCTTCCAGCTCTTGAAGCTCGGTGTGCACCGCGCTGCGGCGCTCGCGCAGCATCTCCAGCTCCACCGTGCGATTGTCCACCTCCTTCTCGTGGTCCTGACCGTGCGGAAAGAGATCTGAACACAAAATAAGGATCCAACTGCGGAACGGGATGACATGGTGAAAAACATGCTTTCCAAACAGGGTCCAAATGTGGAAACGATATGAAGAGTGACCTAGGTTCTTGCTGGGAACCAGACAGTTCTTGTGGCCCTGGCCGTCAAAAATAATCACCATTATCAAACACATCGGACTCATGAGCTGGACTGGAACTCAGAGCACACCATTGTCCCCCAGAAATCTCAAAAGCTGAGAGGATTGAAGGATGTTGAAGGCCAAGATTTGGGTAACAAACACTGCTCAAACTCCATGAGCTTGTGACGACCTTGCTGCAAGAACATCGTAGACGACGGCTTCATGGACCTTCATGCAGAAATACCAGCCAAAACCAAGGCATTCAGTCACAGGCGGTCACGAATTCAGGTAGATCATACAGTCAAAGCGGCCCAGTTTTCTAGGTGATGGGTGGGTCGACTGGCTTTGCGACTGGCTTTTCCAAATACTTTCACAGTGAAATTGAACTAGTGCATTCGGCTCCTTGGTCCAAACATCCTTCTGATCTTGCAAGTGCTGGATGCGCTCATCCAAGAAAGCATGGGCTCGTTCATGCACGGCAGTCTCCATTTCTTGAGCTTCAAGCAAGCGGTCCAGCTCCTCTGAGTGTTGAATCTGGCTGCTTTCAAGCAATGAAGCCATGGTAGAACCCTACAATGTACCTTACGGTATTGCCTGATACTGGCACAAGCCGTGCTCAAGAGTGCACAGTTTTCTTTGCCAACACTTGGATCTTAGTTTGTGTCAACATGTTCAACCATCTTGAGCTAACAACTGTCCCTGCACGGGCAAAGTAGCTAAGCAAATTGTGAAGGAGGCATGGCTTAGGTTCAATGCATCCAACACACAAATAAAGACGATAATGATGTCTTACTGCTCGCCAGTCTTATATTATTTATCGATATACTCCCACTCCCTCTCCCTCTCTCTCACTCTCTCTGTATGCGCTTAGCTATACACATATACGTATTGACAATATAGAATCTCTCTTGAGCTTGTCGGCCACAAACGAGTGTTGCAAAGGCCCGATGCCCAGCCAACACTGGACAAGTATGGACAAGCAATATCTTCGCAAACAGGCATGGCAAACCCACGGGCATCGTTTCATCGGTCTCCTCAATCAATTTCTTCTCCATTTGCGCGTGGATCCGCAACAAGGCCTCTGAATCGAACACTCAAGAGATGACATTCCGTATTATAATGATGGTGTCTATTCTTATCTTGCACGGTCATGTTTCACACACGCAAAACCATGGGTGGCACCTGCTCCCTGGCCCGCCACTTCTTCTCTTCGAACTTAAACTCAATATCACCTGGGGCTTGTGCAATGGGTGCAATGGTATTCCTACCTGACCTTTTGCTTTTTGGGGCTGACTCAGCGCCCATTGGATTGTAGGCCCAATGAGGTTCTTTCTGGTGCAGGGGCAGCTCTCCAGCTCCCACACTCGCAATGGCCCAAAGCGGAATATGCGTTCGGGAACGCCAAGCAATGTCTGGCTTTCTTGGGAGAAACGGACTGGGGCTGGAGCTAATGCTTCGGAGTCATTCAGTTGGTTTGGTGTACATATAATATAACATAAATATAAAATCCAAGTGGAGAATCAGCTATGGGACTGGGCCGTATGAAGTCCGTATGACAAGAAAAGCACTGACAACGACAACTATGCAGTGGTCATAGATGCGAAAGTGCACTTTCCAGCACAAGCAAGGAGCTAAAGAATTTTCACCTAGACACTCCAGCTCCCTAGGTCTCTGGCTGATGGTCTTGTTCTTCTGCAACTCCTCCTTCAACTCCTTGATCTCTTGATTTGCAATCCTTGGAGTGTTGAAGCCAAGCATTCAGATCTCTGTGGACAAGGTCCTGCGCTAGGCACCCCCGTCAACCGACTCTGTTCTGCAAACACCTGCGGATGTGGATGACCAATCCACTCGGAAGCTCGGCTCGGCATCGGCGCCTCCTACGTCTCTCTAGGTGGCACTCGTTGCGGATCCCAAAACTGGCCAACCTCTGCTCGTGGACCGCAGGAGCTCTTCGGGGCTCTAAGGTGTGAAGATAGGGGGCCGTAGGGGCCACGCACAAGATGGGCCTTGCGAAAGAAATAGCTTTACAAGGAACAGGGGGGAAGATAGAGATCACCCAGAAGGGGCGAAACACCTCTTTTGGAGAGGCTTTGACTTCTTATGTCAAACCTTCATTCCACTGATTTGTTCGGATGGAAAAGCAAACACTTCAAAAAACGCTGGATTCTGCGGCAAGCCACTTCGTCTCTTTCTCCTCAGTGGAGAATGGATGATTGACAAAGAGCTCTGCATCTCACATGTGCCCTTATGAATATGATTCGACGGTTATGGTTACGGTGATGGTGATGATGATTCTATGCAAATTTAAAAATGTTCACAACTATCGCATGTATCGTGGATCCATGTTTGGCATTTGCTTCACGAATTTCACATCCCAGAAAAATTGAAGGACCAGAACAGTCATATCGGTAGATACAGTATAATATCAAATAGCATTTCGATAAGGCATGGCATCATGGGGTCTCGATGCGTCCTTGATCGCCCAAGATGATCATCCAAAAGACGATCACCGGTGGGAGCATGAAAGCATTCCAAAGAGATATCTGTGGTGTTTTAGGTCCGTTTATAATGATTAGGTCATTATTCGATCTAAACCGACGCCAAGAAATCGGCCAAGACACGTGATCCGCACGCTCTCGCTGCAACTCCGCCTCCAAATCCTTCACCGCTTGGGAGTTCTTCTGCTCCTGGATCAGCCAATTCGGCAACCACCCGGCCACGGCATTGACCATGCATACTTGTATACAACCGAAAAATAGAAGTCTAGCCAAAGCAGCTTGCCAAAGCATGTAACATGTGTCGGACATGTGCCAGATTCCAAGTAATTACAGCACTTTGTTCAAATACAAGCTGGTTAATCCAAACATGGCTGATGCCACCTTAACATTGAGGACGGGGTGTTATGCACCAGTGTCGGCTTGAGCGCCATGCTCAGTAGTGAAGTCCTTCTTTTTAACTTCACTCAATCGTTCTTGCTCACGTCTTTCGGCTTCAACCTCACAGAGGAGGACAGCGCATCTCTTTTTCTCTGTCTATTTGACATCTACAGTCTGCAGCGGTGTCAGAGTAGATGGCACTGGCACCCCTAACTACATGTCTTCTAGATAAACCACCCTGTGGGATGGTGCCATACACTCTCCATCAACTATATTGCCATAGCGGCCATAGCGAACCCCCCCTGAGCTGGCCAAGAACATCCAACGAGTCATTATAAATATCTCTGTGTGTGTGTCGCAATCAAGGAGACCTAATCCAGCACGCGCCTTGGCAACAAGGTTCTGGAAAGACATGTCCTCAGTAATCACACGAAGCACAGCCATACATCATGAATGGTCACAAGTCTTCGTGGGCCTCGGGTTTCCTGGGCTTGTCAGTCCGCAATGTGTCCTGGCTGCGTCTCCACATAGTTCTACGGGTATTCTGTGGTTGCGAGAAAATGGTCAAGTCTGCCACAAAGAAGTTCTTGTTTAGCATCAACTTGAAAACAAGAGCAACTCTACCCCCTGCCGACCAAACACCAACTGGTAGGCCATATGGCCATATGCACAAATGAATGCATTCTTGAACGCTTCCCTCCAAGCTTCCATGAGATCAGTCTTGGTCTCCTCAAGCCACTCTTGGACTTGTGATCTTTCAGCTTGCATCTTCTGCAAGTTGCCCTGACCACAGGAAATGTATCTAACAAAATCACCATCCAAAGCGACCTTACCGCTATTCAGGAGTTCTTCAGAGGAACAGTTCATTCCACCCTGCCTGCACGTTGGGGTTCTCCTTCAAATTTCGGCACAAGCTCTTATTGCTCTCTTTCAGCTTGTGTGCCACGTCTTGGATCTCTTTCTGCCTAAGCCATGTCCGATGACCAAAGCAACTTGTCGATCCATTTGTTGCCTGAAAAATACTAGGATCAACATGCACTAAAGTATGACTGTGACCAGCTTCGGAAGTCAATTGCCAAAACACATGTCATTCACAAGCACCTTCCATCACACCCATACCCCACTTGCATCGTGACCAAACTCCGCCTAGCGACGTGTCCATGAACTTGGCCTGCGCCACGTGTGGATTGGATCACGGGCCGCGGGGTGGGGGATAGCCGGAGCCGCCACGATCCGGGACCTCGTTGCTAAAACCACTTCACGAGGTCACTAGGGTTGGCCCGACGGGACTCGGTATAAGGGGCACTTCAACAGGGGGGACTCCCGATGGATTTGCGGCTTGTGGACCACTCGTATTCAGTGTCACTGGAAATCTTCGGGCATCGTGAGGGCTACAAACACCCGACGGATGGATGGTTGTCAATGTAATCATGTTGATGCTAACTTGGATTTTGGAACTCGATGGCATCCGTACATCGCATGATATCAAAATGTCACAGAAAAATTGATCACGGACTGGAAGAACGCAAGCATGGGTGTCGGTGTACAGAAGCAGCGGGTATGGTCGTCATTCGCATTTGTTTACAAAAACTGAAGGCCACTACCGAAATTGGAAAGATTTGTCATGCTTCCTTCTAAGTCATCACCCATGTCAAGAATGCTCCACATATCTTACATATATGCTACAGTTCTTCGCAGGTTAAACCAACCTGCAAGGTCATAGAAAGTGATAGAAACCACTCCAATTGACACGTTTTTATCGTAGAACTCAGGCAATTAATTAGATGACCAAAGCAAGAATCATCATTCTTAGTTAGTTATAGTTATGGTGATTGGTTAGTTATAGTCATTGTAACAGTTTGTTACAGGCAATAATGTTTTGGATTGTCCAAATTCGATTGCAGTCCACAAACTACGTCCCACTTCCGAGGTGTCTGGACTACACCAAGGACTACAGCGGGTGATGACCGAAGAAATCGCGCTGCAAACTGAACGGAGCAGGTATCTGAGCATGTGCCGCAGTCTCAGAGCTGATAGCTTAACAAACCTTGAAGATACACAACACTCACCACTGAACGCTCCCCCAGCATAATGGGCCTTGTTGCAAAGGCCTTTCAACTGCCCACGGGCAGCGATCAACTCTTCATACTTCCGCTCCAAGTCTCGCTGCTCCTGGCGAGTCCGCACCAAGCCAAGCTGGTGGAGAACGGCAAAGTCTTGTATATAGTTCTGTCACAGCTGTGGACTGGGGTGGATAACTGTCACAACAAAGTGGGACCAGTTTTTCTGTTCTTTTATGCAGGGCATCATCCTGTTGTTGTACTTTTCGGCGGCCCTTGGTAAAGATCCACCCTGAAAGCCTATTTAAAGCCACACCTGTGTAGCAGGGTTGGCTGCGGGGTGACCAAATCCAGGATACGCGAGACCAGCGGCCAGCATCATGCAACCAACTTGGTTGGCACTGAAAAATGAAGTTGCCATCTGGGCAAGCCCTCTTCCCAAAAAGGCATACACATAAATTGTTTTTTTTAATCATTACATCCTTACACCCAACTGCGCACGCGCGAAGAAAAGAACTAAAATAACAAAAAAACAACAAACAAACCAGAAACGCGGAGGCACCAATGGTTTAGACTAATTAACCCACCCAACAGGATCTTCTTGAATGCACTAACAACCCACCTAAAGAACCAGCCGGTCTCGACCAATAGAAAACCATCCAACAGGACCAAGGACCTTCTGTCGCGGTGACCCTAAACCCTAAACCCAGCGACTGTCTCAGCCCACACCATGCAGTCGCGACGATCTGCAAATCCTGGATGATGCGGGAGATTTCGTCGCCCATGAACCTCGATTGCAGGGTGGGAGATCCCCTTGGTAGTAACAAGTGCATCGCTAGTAACAAGTGCCTTAAAGTAGTAACTAAGAAGCTATTAATGGGTGGCAAATCCCCTTGGTGGGAGGTCCCAAAGCTGTTTCGGGGTCCATGGTCCATGACTCACGCCAGGGCGGTGGGACTGCTTTTAGGCCCACTTCAACAGCAAAGGCCAGGATTGCATGGAGATGATTGAGTAGTTAACATGTATATAAACTATTTTTTAGTGGGGGGTGACCGACTTGGCTTCGTCTCGGTAAGTCTAACGATAAGTCTATCGAGAAGGCCAGTTGCTGGGTCAGCTCATCACCATGGACTGATGCACTCGAGGAGATGCTGGTGAGGAAGCTGAGCTTTCCTCAAGACAAGCCACCGAACTCGGCCCGCTCGGCGTGTTTGGGACCACCTGATAAATTGGGTCCAAGAATTCTGACCAATGTTGGATTCAAGAAGACTGCTTCCCCCAAAGCTATTGCTTCACCCTGTCTGAAGAGGCACGCAGGTCTGAATCAGGGCTTGTGCAACAATGAGGGCTTGTGGTTCCAATAAACAATGTCATTCAGAAATCAGCTTCGCCCGGCCCATGTCTCGAATGAAAGGTCGAATTCGGTCGAGTTTGTTGCACCGGTTGACCAGGGGGTCGCACATCTCCAGCTAAGCAACAAGGGACAACCCCCAAAAGAACACGACCAGAAGCGTATGGCAAACGAAGCGGTAAAACATATTGACGCCGGTGAACCAATGGCAGGATCAACCAGCTACTGTGTCTGGCACACCCAGCGACGAACGATTCAATGGAACATGATCCTTCCAGCCGGCAGGGTAGTCTTTGGCTCTACAAGTGTAACTAGTGCCAGGTTCTAAGCAGCCACGCAAATGATTGATTAAGGACTCCTGATTCTTACTGTATCCTGCACTACTAATGATAGAAATGGATTACATGTACCCTTAGCAATGAACTCCTCTATGTTAGGGGTTTCGTCCATTTCGGACCTTGGAAGCATGATAAGCATGGCGACCCACGTTTAAAAAAAGTCAAAAACACATGCAACGACGTCCAGGAGCTGAGCGCTTCTTCCAGGAGGACCTGGAGCGTATCTGTCAGCTGGGCCGCTTTCGCCCCGATGGGTGGATCTTCAGAGGTTCTCCAGTCGCTCCGTGCGGTCTGAAGAATCGTTAAAACATCAAGGATGTTGGGTCGTCGGTCGCCCAACATGACGAATGCTTTGGAAGGTAGAAACGTCAACTGGAAGGTAGAAACACCAACCACACGCTCTGGAATACTGCCAAGAAGGAATCTGACACCACCCATATCAAAAGCAAGGATGTTCACTCACCACAGTCTGTCTCCGGAATTTCTGACACCGAAAATCATCTGCTTCATTCACCAAGAAACTATGGCCGGCCAACGATGAAGTTGTGGCTATGGTTTTCTGTTGCAAAGGCTGAATCCTTTTATCAACACCAATTCATGATATGTGACCTGACATGTGCGTACGTTGTTCTTTGAGTCTTCCACTAGTGACTAGCTGAACCTCGCAAAAACTGCCCCAAAGAAAACAATGATAAAGGCCGTGAAGAACCCAACTATGTGATACCTGTGCTCGAAAAACTACACCCCCAAGCCTGTGCTCGAAAGGCCTCGACTTCAGACAGCTTATTCAATGACATGGCAGCGATAGATCAGCTGGAGGATTTCTCCTGCTGATGGTGAAACCGGGGACCCACGCGCCGTCGAAAACGGCACGTAGGCACAAAAAGCTCTGTGTGCGAAGCCAACGGCCAACGTTTGCTTGCATCCTTTGAGCCGTCATCCAGCAAAATGTTGACAAGGGTCAAGATGTGCACACACACATTGCTTGGCACATGCGGCTCCTAAAACAACAAACACAAACAACGTGCAGGCTCATCAAAACGCAGGAAAGCTGTATTCTGCATAAGCCGCTGTGGAGATTTGGGGCTCGTGATTTAGAAGTAGATACTGTAGCTCCTGCCTCAATGAGAGGGACTACTGTTGGAAAAACCGAAGCCTACACCACCTGACATAAGGAAAATTGATCTCTTCCTTCAACCCCAAACAGGTTAATCCAAATCAATACCTGACCTGAACAGGATGGTCCTGAGAGTCCTGTTCAGGAAGCTGCTCACATGGATTCCCGACATGGCATGGGGCCGTCACTGGAAACACGGCACCACACCATGGACCAGTTTCAAGTTAACCCTCATGGTGTCAAAAACCAGCAGCTAAGAGTCGAGCCAATGGTGGTGAGACACCGACCCACGATTCACGTTCGGAAGTGGAACAAAAACGCGCGCTGTTGGTTTCAAATACATATATAGTACCCAACCATACCACATGTCTGCCTGACTGGGCTGGTTTTATGCATGAACAGGCAGAAATTTGGGCATAGTTGGAAGATTTGGGTATATATCAAATGGCACCTGAAACGGGTCCAAGCCATCCACGTAAGCATGGAACGTGAGTATACCTCTAGACACGACCTGAGGCGCAAATCATGGCTGACTGCTGACCAATCACAAACCATCCATGGGACTGGAAGAGTTACATACATTTACCCCTATGAACTATTTCAGTCCCAAAAGCTCTTTAAAAAAGTGTTTGGAAATATATACAGTATATATATATGTGTGTGTAATAATTGTAATCCGCCGACCCCACACCGTGGGGTGAGGCGTGACTGTCGATGTTAGCCTTAGCCTTAATCCTTATCCTTAGCCTTAGACTTAAGCCTTATCCTTAGCCTTAGACCTAGACCTTACCTCCCCTACCCCTCCGGACCCTTGTTGCAGTGACGAAATCCGGTCCTAAAAGCGACCTGATAGCTACGGAATTTGACGGGAAAGCAACCTGATGGCGACCTGGATTGTCCAAGATTCTGCCATCCCAAATGATTTACATCTTGGGGCACCCTCTCGACCCGCGCGGGAAAATAAGCACGGTCCAAAATGGTCCTGGGCTCGAATCCCGGGCTGGTCGCGGCATGGTCCCGGCCAATGCCCTTGCTTTTTCGTAGATTTTGTCACGTTTTCTGTTGGTTTATGAGATTTTCAAAAGCTTTTCTGGCATTTTCCTAGGAATGCTCTAGGCTTTGTCTAGATTT